CGTGCAAATTCAGCATGTTGATTGCACGACCCAATTGAGCATAAGAAATGCATTGAAGAAATTCACTAAGGTAAATCGAAACCGTAACATCAATTAAAAAGCAAATGAGGTCTTTGAATACATGTGCAGTTTTAGATGACAAACTATAACTTTGCTCACCGAGTCTTTCTTATCAAAAACCTATAAGATACATATCTGACCAGAACCCATGTTTCATTCCAAGGGCGGATCCAGAAAATCATGTTGGCGGGGGCTGAAATTTAAAATAAGCACAAATTTTTTTAAAGTATATAAAAAAATTTTCATTACTACATTAACTATTGAAGTTGTGTCCATCCAGCTTTAAGTGACTGAACCAATTTTTTTGAAACCGTCGATTTTGATTTCCAAATATTGACTTCGGATAATTCAAAAGAATTGGTTGATAAGGCTTGCTCGTAGATATGCCCATCTAGTCTCATCTTGTAAATTAATATAATGTTAACTAATGTGCTTCCTTTTTCTCGGATCCCTTTCGATCAAAGCAGATTATTGCAAATCTGGTTGTGAAGATAAATGAGGCTCTGTTTCAGGAGACGAAATTGGAGAATGATGAATTGCAATATCCTCTTCAACTTTAACGAAATGCATACTTGTGGTAGATTCATCTACCTTTTTAAAGAAGGAGAACAATGTTTTCTTTCTCTTGGCACCATATTGACGATGTTCCATATTGGCAAGTAAATATGCATAAACTGGCAAACATAAAAAAGTAATATTCGTTTATTAAACCAACAAAAGTTACAAAATCACACTAATCTTAAATCAATCAGTATCAAAATAATTGTTTCTTACTTTATTTCATGTACAGTCATACAGATTAACAAATATAAGCATACACGAATGGAACTAAGAAAGAAAAACCTGGAAGTGGTTGATGAATTCTTCCCCTTTATCGACGTAGAAATTGTTGAACTCGGCTGCTTGCTTCAAATTCGCCAATGCCAGAAATAATAAAAATTAAAGAGCCAAACTTCCAAAATCCAAAGTGAAAGAGGAGCTCGGGGCTGCTCGGCTGCTCCAGCTTGCTTCCAATTCCAGAAATGTGTTAAGTGGTAAGGGTTTTTACTTTTTAATTAGGTGGGCTAATGGGCTTGGCAATTGGGATGGAAAAAAGGGAATAACCCCCTGTTTGTTTGCCATTTTCTCCTTCATTCTTAGAATTTTTTTGACCGTTGGTGGGCCAACCTGATCCCTACAATAGAGATGAAAATTCAAAAAAAGTGGCTGAAATCGGATCTCAACGGTCACAATTCTCATTTTGTCAGACAAATAATGCACAACAAACAGGGGCTAAATTGGTATGTGGGCCAATCACAAATATTAGATTAAAACTTGATACATTTAAGAGGAAATTACACCCTCACAAGTTTTTAAGTTTTCATTTTCAAAAATACAGAATCAACTTTAAAAATACATAAAACATGTTTTAATTAATCGTTTTTAAATTAATATTNTCTGAATATTTATCAAACAAGAATTAGCCCCTATTTTTTCCTTTTATGATATTTACTTGAGGAAATTACACCTACACATGTTTTTAAGTTGTCATTTTCAAAAATACAGAATCAACTTTAATAATACATAAATCAGGTTTTAATTAATAATTTTTAAATTAATTTTTGTTTAAATCAATCGTACACAATTTCAAACCCTAAATTCATTTTCTCTCTCTCCCTCTCTCTCCCTATCCCTGCCCATTCTCTCTCTCTCTCTCTCTCTCTCTCTCTCTCTCTTCCTACTGCACATTTGACACCCCAGAGGAATCTGTACTTGCTTACGACGGCGCCGCCGGTCACTCCGCGGTACCAAGGAGAAGACCAACTTTCTGTCTCTGTCGCTTGGTCATCACTTGGATCTCAACCTTCCTTCCGATCATCGGTGGATCTCTCCCTCTCTCATGTTCAGCGGGCAATATCGAGTAAGGCCATTCCTTCACTGTGAACGCCGACAGATTGCGGTTGCAGCGGCGCAAATTGCGATGATGATGGCGTAGATCGTGGCTGCAATAACGCAAATAGCGGTGATGGTGCTTTTTTTTTTATTGGATGGGTGGTAGTAGCTTCCATGTTTTGGTGGCTTTGGGGTGATGTGGTAGTGGCGGTGAGATGGTGGTGATTGTACTGCTGGTTTTTATGGTGAGGTATTGAGGATGACGGTAGCACTGGAGGCGGCGGTTCATGTGGTGGTGGCGTTGGTGAAGGCAATCAAATTTTGTTGGTTTTTTTGGGTATTTTTCTGGGCGGTGGTGTGGTGGATCTGTCGGTGTTGTGGCTGGTGGACGGTGGTGTCGTGGTTTTTTGGGTGTTGTGGTGCAGGTGGCGATGGTTGTGGTTATTTTTTGGTATTATTGTGGTGGTGGTTGTGGTGGTGTTGTGATAGGGACAAATCTACTGTGATCTATAATTTTTCGATAATTTGTGACCAAGAAATTTGAAAATATGCGACTTATCGATAAATTGTGATCTATAATTTTTTGATCAGTGACTAATGAATTAAATTGTGATATAAAATTTCTAATTTGAAACCTACAAAATTTTTGACTAATAAAAGTAATATGTGACCTANCCAATAATTTGGTTGGTGTGACCAATAAATAATAAATTGTGATCAATAAATATTGTGTGACCTACAAATTTATTAATTTGTGACCAATAAAAGTAATATGTGACCTATAATTTGATGTTTTGTGACCATAAAATAAATTGTGTGACTTATAAATTTTGTGATTTGTGACCAATGAACAAATTGTGACTTTTAAATTTTTAATTTGTGACCGATAAACGAACTGTGACCTATAAAATTTTTGAATTGTGACCTTAAAATTTTTTAATCGTGACCAAATTCTATAGATCTGTGACCTTTATATATTTATTAATAAAATATATAATTAATTAATTAAATTATAAATAATTTTTAATGAAAACCTGATTTTTGAAATTTAAAACGTCAAACCTTAATTTTGAAATGGTGATACTTAAATACCTTAATTATGTATTGTTCCCTACATTTAAATTTTAAACTGGGCTAGTGGTTATGTTTTGGATAGAGTAGTTAGTGGCTAACTTTAAATTTGGGCCGAGCTATAATTTTTTTTTTTTTCCAAAAACTAACAAAGAAAAACTCTTTCTGAGCCGAGGCTGCACTGGGCTCCCCCCAAATCCGCCCCTGTTTCATTCCACATACAATCAAATGGAGGCTCAAAATCAAGGATATACTTTCTACTCCTTGCAATGGAAGGGTGTGTTTAGGACCATGCGTTTACAAAGGTGTACAAGCTAAGGTTTAAAAATCACACTAGCATTATTTAAATTATTCATTATCTATTACTGTCCCTAGCTGCACACTATCAGGAGAACCGGGCAGAATAAATTTGTCTGATAATTTCTACTGTGCAATAGTCACCACGATTTTGGTGACCAATTTCATAGAGAAACTTGCAAGCCTCAATAATTTGATTAAGTTTGACGTTGAACTGTAATTCGCTAACACCTTTCCCGAATGTGGTAATCTTGTCAAGCTTCCCATTTCAGTAGCTAACATAAAATTCTAGCTTAAGTTCTTTATATATGCCGTTATCTTCAGTGTCGGATATGCATTTGATTAGAGAATCTATCGTTTCAACGTTCGGAAATTGATTGCACACAGATGCTCTACAATGAGACATTGAGATATCAATGGTCATTGCCTTGAATTGACAACTGCTGCAATAGACGGCATATCAGACTGGACCAGGGACCCATGTGAAACATCCATTTTAAGAATTAAAGTGGAAATCTACGATATCATGAGCAGAGAAGAAGATTTCTCAACAGCTAACATAGAATTTAATACACTAAGCTCTGCGTTGATATTTAACAGGACATTAGTGATCATTAACCCTAGTTGGAGCCAGGCAATGAGCAAATACACCAAAATCAGCCAAAATTTTCAGCTTCCAAGGACCACAAATGTCACAGTTTTTCCTCTCAGGATGCAAACAGAAAAAGAACTTTGATGGCCCAGAAAGTTTTTGCCCGAAAATCTTCAAACATCTTCTTGACCCGAACAAGAGGTGGAGCTCATCTATATAGTGGGTTCTCTTCAAAGAAATCTCACGGAGCTTCAACATAAACTCCTTTCATTTCTCCAGCATTTATCAAATCTCTAACAATGCCACGTACGTCGCTAAAAAATACATTTCATTATTAGAAAAGGACCTCTGTAATCAACTTGGAAAAGATTTTCAAGTATAAGCAACTAAGAATTGTGTGCTGCACACATTTGGTACGAGTTCATCACGTGAACTGCACGACCAAGTGGCCCTTATCACTCAAGACAGTCATAAGTAATTAACAATATTGTTCTTTTAGAGCGGACACTGGGTTCCTTAATATTCCGTTGTGATTAAGTTCAATGTCCCGAACTTGGTTGAACTGTGATTCACTAACACCTTCCCTGAATATAGTAACCTTGTGAGGCTTCTCATTGCCACAGTTAACATAAAAATTGAGCATAAGTTCTTTAAATATGCAATTATCTTTAGTGTCAGACATGTGTTTGATCAGAGAATCTATCATTTCAAAATTCAGGGATTGAGTGCTCACAGATGCTCTATGATGAGAAATCAATGGCCATTGCCTTGAACTGATAACTGCAGCAATTGATAGGATATCAGACTGGCCCAGGGACCCATGTGAAACATCCATTCCAAGAATTACGGTGGGAATCTTCTATATCATGAGCAGAGAAGAAGATTTCTCAACAGCCAACATAGAAGTTCTTCCATGGAGATTCGTATTGATATTTAACAGGACATTTGTAATCATTAACTCATTGGAGCCAGGCACTGATCGACTGCACCAAAATCAGCCAGATTTTTTTTGCTTGAACCATAAATATCACAGTTTTTCCGCTCAGGAAGCAAACAAAGCAGGAACGTAGCAGCCCAGAAACTTTGCCTGATATCTTCAAACATCTTCTCGACCCGATCATGAGGTGGAGCTGTTGGGTTTTTTGATACCTAATAAATCCGGACAATGATTTAAAATAGTTGTCAGATTATTTGGCGACACCATAGACTTGGCTCGACTCTGAAACGACCTATACTTTTGGAAGGCCCAAGATGGAGATGGATTGATGGTTTTGATTAGTATGGCGTTTATTGGTTTATTGGTTAGGTCCATTTACCTATTATTAAGTTGGCC